GCAAATCGAAAAGCACACACAATATGTAGGACACAGATCATTAATCATTTTTGGTTATTAAAGTTTATTACATTTTAAATCATAAAGCATTAGTCATACCTCAGCAGCAGGAGCAGCTGCTATTGCTGCCATTGAGCCCATGGACATCATTCCAACATCCTGAATGTTCAGAGTTTTCTGACGGGGGTCAAAAACACATTTAAATCAGTGTTCGGAGTAAAGGTTACATATTATTAGAGTTGGGCGATATAAGTGAATATAGTTCACAGTTATTCTGCAGCTGATTTCAAATTCAGCAACATCATATTTAGTGAAGAACTGTATTTGACCATTAAGTTTACAAAAGACAGTACACATAAGCGGCCTTTTATTTCATTAATATTGTATCTGCAAGTTTTTATTTTTTTAAATATACTTTAAGATTTGAAGTACACTACAAGTGCACTTCAATCACAATTAAGTATCTCTCGTGTCATCACTTAAAAATTTCACAGAAGTTCCAGTTAAAAAAATGAAGGTGAACACTTTGTATTGTGGATGTCTGCTGTATTTTAAGTCTTGCATTAAACATTGTTATTTGGCTAGTGTTTTGACAGTGCGCTGCACACCTTTAGTAACTCATTGAGGTCAGACACTTCTATGAGCGTGAGGCTGGCGATGTCATTGACCAGCTGTTGGATTTTGGGAGAGTACAGCTTGGGCGCCCCATCAAAAGGAGGTGCTGTAATGGCATCAGACGGACTGACAGGGCTGGTCTTGAGTGTTCGCAGGGCACACAGTGCTGCCATCTGTAGGTTGTGTCTGTGAAATGAGTCCATTGAGACAACAATAATGAGCACATAAAGCAGCAACAAACACCATACAGTGTATCTATTCTCCATCTCTGTTATCAGAATGATTTCTGAAGGATCATGTGACACTGACGACTGGAGTAATGATGCTGAAAATTCAGCTTTGCATCACAGGAATAAATTACTAGATATTTATATAGAAAAGAGTTATTTTAAATTGTAATAATTTCACATTATTACTGTTTTTACTGTATTTTTCATCGATTAAAAGCAGCCTAGGTGTACATAAACAGTAAAATAAATAAATCAAAAATCTTACCAACCCCAAACCTTTGAATGGTAGTGTAGGCCTATATTATATTATGTAGCTTACATTTTTTGATTTAACACACAACTTCGATTTCAAATTTATTTTATGATTCAGTACATACAGTATAAAACAAGTGTCCATCGAAAATCAACAACTAGAGTCTAAAGTCTAAACGTCTGAGATCATAAGTGAAAATGCATTCATTTTTTTGTTACACAATATACTGTCAGCATAACAATTTGAGTGAAACGCTCCACATAAACCTGATGATCATGTTTCTCCAGATCCAAAAAGCATCTCAAGCTTCAATTTAAGAAAGAACATCTGTGGCATTTTGCAGCAAATCATTAGTTATAACTGTAAGGTTATTAGTGATATCACCTTACAACTAGTAACACTAAGGTTTCTTAACTTAAAGGGATAGTTCACCCAAGAATGAAAATTTGATGTTTATCTGCTTACCCCCAGGGCATCCAAGATGTAGGTGACTTTGTTTCTTCAGTAGAACACATTTGATGATTTTTAACTTTAACCGTTGCAGTCTATCAGTCGTCTAATGTATGGCAATGGTAACAAAATCTATGGGAGTAAAAAAAACATGCACAGACAAATCCAAATTAAACCCTGCGGCTCGTGACGACACATTGATGTCCTAAGACACGAAACGATCGGTTTGTGCGAGAAACCGAACAGTATTTATATCATATTTTACCTCTAATACACCACTATGTCCAACTGTCTTTGGGCGCACGCAGGCATCCGGTGCGTGAGGTGTGTACGCACTCTGGCGTAGTTTACGTTAATGGGTGCGTTGATATCCAGCCGAAGAGCAATCAACCATAACTTCAGGCGAGCAGGCTCAGAAGTTGGGAATACGTGGAACGTCACCACTCCCGAATGAGTTCGCGAAAGAGAACGTAATCTTTTAGTTTTAAGTCGGTTTGAACAATCCGGATAAGTACCATTTTGATTAGCCGTCTTACCTACAATGCCTGTGCACTGTGTAAACAATGAGTGACATATACGCGTGAGAGATCACTTCCAGCGCTTGCGTAAACTACGCCAGAGCGCGTACACACCTCACGCACCGGATGCAATGCGCGCGCTCAAGGAAGTTAGACATAGTGCTGTATTAGAGGTAAAAAATTATATAAATACTGTTCGGTTTCTCGCACAAACTGATCGTTTTGTGTCTTAGGACATCAATGTGTCGTCACGAGCCGCAGGTTTTAATTTGGATTTGTCTGTGCATGTTTTTTTTACACTCATAGATTTTGTTACCATTGCCATGCATTATAAGACTGACGGACTCCAACGGTTGGAGTTAAAAATCATCAAATGTGTTCTACTGAAGGAAACAAAGTCACCTACATCTTGGATGCCCTGGGGGTAAGCAGATAAACATCACATTTTCATTCTTGGGTGAACTATCCCTTTAAGGAGGTTAGCGTAACCTCTGCTGACCTTTAGTACAAAGGAGTTCACATGGTCAATGTCACAAATGTATTTCCATTTAATTAGTGCCTCAATAATACATACAATTAAATGCTTACGAATTTTACATCACAGCTTCTTAATTTCAACCATTTAAAAAAAAAGTTTCCAGGTGTTAACAAGAAAACAAACCCCAGATTTTCAATTGCGGTCTCAGGCTGCATGTCAGCACACCACTCTTTAGATATCGGCTGACCACCATTAGAAATATATACAGGAAATCATACATTTATGATTCATTAACAGAAGTCACGTGACCTTCTATACCGGTACACGGTCATTCATATTCAGTCACATTAGCTATGATATCAAGTAAACACTAAACAGTAACGTTACATGACCTATGCTATTGCATACACATTCCCTCATTTCTGCAGTTCAGAGATTCAGATCTGCTGCAGGATAAAGACTCTTATCTGAGCACTTTAGATCGTGATAATATCAGTATGTCTTGCTGACACCTCCAGTATGCCAAACATTCAGTGTACATTCTCTGTCCTTGAGACGCAGGGGTTTTTATCAGGCTCTTACCGGTGTGTGTTTGCCGCGGCCCGCAGCGCGATCCGGACGCAGTATCTGCCGCAGAACATCATGACCCGAGTGCACGACTAACCGGTTTAGTGAACGCGACAGGACGAGCAGCCTGTTTCCGAAAAACACAACTCTCTCAGCGGGTGACTTACTGTCAGACCTCCTCTAGCAGAAGCACATGGCGTCCTCCACTGGCTCTTCCTGACCTACCCACAATGCATTGCGCCGGAGGGACAAAACTTTATTTAAAATCCTCTTGCGTCACGGTCTTTTACTAAACATTTTTTTTCTTAAAGAATTGTCTTAATTTAAGGATAGATCGTCTCAGAAGACAATGGGCAAAAAAGAAAAAGAAAAAGTGCAGAACCTACACATGGGTTTTTAATATAAAAGTCTCTAAACTGAGACACATTACATAAATTACATAAAAGTCTCTAAAACAAATCCTAGAAATACTTAGTTAAAATGAGTAGGCCATGTATGAAATAATGCCACTGACAGAAATTCGAAACTCGCTATAATTAATAATATAGCTACAGGGTAGAGACGTCTCTCTGTTTAAACATATTTAAAATGTTAGATTTCATGATTAAGAATAAATACATTTAATTAATATAAAGCACTGTTCGTTATGATGTTTTTATGCCTATGTTGCACTCGTTAATTTCTTGAAACGCATGCACGAAGGAAGTCCCCAGATTTTTACAAGGCTTGTACAGGATAATGCAGATGAGCTGAAGGCCACTGTCAAAGAAACCTGGGCTTCTATACCACCTCAGCAGTGCCACAAACTGATCACCTCCATGCCACGCCAAATTGAGGCAGTAATTAAAGCAAAAGGAGCCCCTACCAAGTATTGAATAACATGTACAGTAAATGAACATACTTTCCAGAAGTCCTACAAGTCACTAAATGTTTTTATTTTTATTGGTCTTATGAAGTATTCTAATTTGTTGAGATAGTGAATTGGTGGGTTTTTGTTAAATGTGAGCCAAAATCATCACAATTAAAAGAACCAAAGACTTAAACTACTTCAGTCTGTGTGCATTGAATTTATTTAATACACGAGTTTCACAATTTGAGTTGAATTACTGAAATAAATGAACTTTTCCATGACATTCTTAAATATAATTTATTGAGATGCCCCTGCATAGTTGAACTCAAACGATCTATCTATCACCAACCCAGTAGGGCAATCTGTGAAAATGTAAGTGTCCTATCTGGTCCCTCAAGAGATAATCCACCTGAAATAAATAATGTGTTGCTTTAAAATAAAATAAAAAAGAAATAAAAAGTAATATTCTGCAGGTATACAATACTTAGGTGCTGCCTAAAAAGTAGGACATAGACTCAAATCCTTCCTATTATAAACCCTAAAGGTCGACCAATTTCAGACCACTCTAATCTGACCAAAATGGCCACTGTGCATAAACCAAATAAAATAATTAAAACAAAATACTGCAGTGGTTTTGTAACAACACATAGATGTAATCACTCAGCAAATCAATCAATCAATCAATCAATCAATGTTCCAGCAACCAATGTTGGACCATTTGATATAAACCCACAGAAATTTTTTTTTCTTTCATTTTTCGATTTTCTGATAGAGTTTAGTTCACTTGTTCGGCTATAGCTCAAAATGTATTTATTTGTTATACTGATGTGCTTTATGGCCAAATTAAACAATGGTTTAATCAGAATCAAGACTTTCAGAGTGCTGTATTATAAGGAATAACAATAATCAAATAAAATAAAATATTATGCCACTACATGAAATTTTCTAGATAAAGGTCATTTGCATGCTCTGTTTCTTTGTTAATCAGTTATACTGAGCCAAAAACATTAGTTCTTATGCAGGACTTGAAGGGGAGGAGCAGACAGAAGCCTCTTATCCAGGTAATCTCCTGGTCCATCTGTCGGTTCATCAGCCATCACTGAGCACTTCCACCGAACAGTGCAGCGTAAGTATCAGCAACATATGTAACATGTATGGTCCTGGCATTTAGAAATAAACATTTTCAGCATTTAGCAAGTCAGTTAACTGTTCCTCTCTTTTGCAGATCATGCTGCTCTCTCCTGCAGCTGAGCGCAGTCAGGACGGTTTGCTGTCGGTGCTCTGGGAGCTACTGGAGGATCAGTCTCACCGTGAGCTGTTTGGTCTTGAGTTGGGATCAGGCACAGGGCAGCATGTGGTGCACTTCGCTCAAGAAATACCCTTTGTCACGTGGCAGCCATCAGACATCAAGGAGGAAGCACGAAACAGGTATGGCACACAGGTTCTTTTCTTTGATACTAATTACAAATGCCATTATGAGACATATCACAGAATTATCAGGGTTTGTAATGTTAACGTCGCTGCTGCAGTATCAGAGCTTATATAGGGGCCACTAAAGCAAAAACAGTGCTGGAGCCGGTGTATCTGGATGCCAGTCAACCCTGGGAGAAATGGGCAGGACTTCCACAAAGCTCCTGTGACATTATTATGGCAATCAACCTGCTTCAGTACAGCCCCTTCAGCACTGCAGAGGTATGGCACCAATATATATGCAATATCGACTTACGAAATTAAACAATGGTTTAATCAGAATCAAGACTTTCAGAGTGCTGTATTATAAGGAATAACAATAATCAAATAAAATAAAATATTATGCCACTACATGAAATTTTCTAGATAAAGGTCATTTGCATGCTCTGTTTCTTTGTTAATCAGTTATACTACCCATGTCATACCTTTGTCATTATACAAATTTATGTCCTCATTTGTCACAAAAACGCACACACACACACAGTAAATAAGTAACTATGTAACTAGTATACAAAATGTTTGGGGTCGTTAAGATTTTTTTTTATGCCCTTTCTTTTATGCTCACCAAAGCTGCATTTATGATGGGAAATTCATTTGAATTATTTTATACATATATATTAAAATGTAAAATTGCAAGATTTTATATATTTTAAAATGTAATTTATTCCTGTAATCAATTACTCCAGTCGTCAGTGTCACATGATCAGTCAGAAATCATTCTAATATGCTGATTTGATGCTCAAGAAACATTTCTTATTAATATAAATGTTGAAAACAATTGTGCTGCTTCATATTTTTGTGGAAACGTTTTTTTTTTTTTTTTGATGAATATAAAGTTCAAAAGAATAGCATGTGTGTACAATTTTAATAATTGTACTGTCATTTTTGATCAAGTCAGTGTATCCTTGCTGAATAAAAATATTAATCTCTCAAAAAACAAATTTGAAAAAAAATAAATAAATAAAATTGAACTAATGTATGTATTCAAATCCAGTTCAAAAAAGCATTAATGTAGTCTTGTATCCACAGGGTGTGTTTAAAGGATCTGGGCAGATACTGAAACAGAACGGCCTTTTAATGACTTATGGAGTGAGTTTGACTATTGTATCATTTTCATGTTGTTTTATATGCTTTAGATAAACAACATATAGTCATAACCACATTAACCATAAATCTCACTATAAACATCATAACCTCGTGGCATACGGTCTCAGCCGTATGCTATCAATGGAACCATCACCCCAATCTGCAATGAACAGTTGGACCAGACATTACGCCAGATGTGGGTTTTCAAACTGACACACTTTTTTTTTTAATTTCAAGAATCAATATATTGATATTTATTAACATAAAGATGAAATATGTAGACAAAACTACTTCTGTCTTGCCCTGTTTTACACCTACTGTCAATCAGGAATCCGGATTGGGGTCTTCCAGATATCGATGTGCTCAGACAGCTGGCGTTCAGTGACGGAATGAGAATGGAACGAATGGTGAGGGGCAATTAATGACTTAATTTCTGAAGCCTATAAACAAAGCATCTTTTGGTTAATGTCCAGATCACTTGTTACCCTAAAATCAAAAAGAAAATAAAGCCTAGTATGGGACCTATTTAGATTTTTTTGCATTGTGGCATGATTCTTACAACAATTAAAGAGTTAGTTCACCCAAAAATGAAAATTAGGCTGTGTTTTACTCACCCCCGAGGCATCCTAGGTGTATATGACTTTCTTCTTTCAGACGAATCCAGTTGGAGTTATATAAAAAAATTGTCCTGGCTATCCCCCAAGCTCTATCGTTGCAGTCAGCAGGTGTTGCAGTGCTTTAGTCCAAAAGAAGTTAAATAAAAAGCACCCATCCGTTAAAAGAAAGTGTCTCACACGGCACCGGTGGGTGAACAAAGGCCTCCTGTAGCGAATCGATGCATTTTTGTATATATATATATATTATTCAAAACGTAATCCTCACTTTAATCTAGCTTGCGCTCACTGTTGTACACTGGAAGCAGATCCGGGCGGATGACGTATGAGGTGAGTGCTGCGCGTGCGCCGGTGAGTCTCGTGAAAGCCAACGTTTGTTTACAGGAGCAAAGGAAGCAAAGTTTCCTTACTTAAGCAAAGGAAAACCAGTCTCCTCTTGACTTATATCGAAATTCTCTGACATTCTTCTTTACAAATCCTCATTTTGTATTTCTAATTAGTTACTGTTGTTTTGTTTTGATCTCTCCACTGCGCTTCGGCGTTCATCACTTCTGAGCTACGCATGCGCAACGCTGAACTCATACGTCATTCACCTGGAACTGCTTCTGTGTATATCAGTGAGCGCAAGCTAGATTAAAGTGATTATTACATTTTAAATATGGTTATTTTTCTTACAAAAAACGCATCGATTCGCTACAGGAGGCCTGTGTTCACCCCCCGGAGCAGTGTGAGGCGCTTTTTTTCACTTCTTTTGGACTGACGCATGCAACACCCGCTGAGTGCCATGAAACAGCTTGAAAGATCAAAGACAGTTTTTAATATAACTTCGACTGGATTCGTCTGAAAGAAGAAAGTCTAAATATACACCTAGGATGCCTCGGGGGTGAGTAAAACACAGCCTAATTTTCATTTTTGGGTGAACTAACCCTTTAAACACAATTTTCCCATAATTCTCATTACCATAATGTATCTGAATGATTTACTTTGTTTTATTATTGATATTTTTTCTAATACTCATTCTTAGCGATGCTTGTCTTAATTTACATTAGAATAAATTACTACCATTTTACATGAATTAAAGGGGTCATATGATGTTGCTAAAAAGAACATTATTTTGTCTAAAAATAGACTTCATTTGTCTGCCATTGATCCAGTACTCAATTCTGCACTAATTAATTGGTAATGAAACTGTGGCTTTGAGATCGATTGATTAGTTCTGCGCAGTCAGGTCTGAACCCCTGGCTATGCCACTCTGTGAAGATCCACATGAGTAAACACAAACGGATGTGATGTCTGGCAAACTTACATGCAGTATCTGGAAACACCAGCCTATTTATTTTGATTAGATTGGTGATATGCATATGGCAGTAAAGTTGACATCTCATTGGCTGTTATTTTATATGACAGAAGCCAAACACCATCTACCGCATAAATCATTAGCGAGGATTCCACAACACTGATCCTAAACGCAGAGCTTCTGAAGTATTTCTAGAATCGCATACATGGAAACCAGCACTGGAATGTCACATTAGAGCACTTCAGAGCAAATCAGAGCTGAAAAACTGCTATGATGCCTCCGCGACCTCTGCTAAAGCCAGCAAGTCTCTTAACCGAAGAAAAATAAATGGCTGTTGCATATTCACTCATGCAAACACATCTTAGAAAAATATGAGACAAAAGGATAGCTATGTCTTGTCTTTTCGAACCATATTGTGCTTGTTTCTCTATGGTACGAATGACTAACCTTGCATCAGCTTAGTTTTATAAGAAAAAACTACATTTGCAAAAATCTAGAGAGATGAAAGTTAGCAGTAGCATGAATCTCACAACATGTCCAGGTCATATTTTTAATAGAATCTCATTTCTGCTTCCTAAGCTTTGGTGAAACTTTTTTTATAAAAAGCCAAAATTATGAGATATTAAGTAGATTTGTTTGTCATAATTTTGACTTATCTCAATTATGACTTAGTATCTCATAATTTTGACTCTCATAATTATGACTCGCAGTGTAATTTCAATGTTAAAATAAAAACAAAATCCTAAATGATGAGATACTAAGTTATAATTGAGATTAGCAAAATACAATTATGACAATATCTCAATTTTGACTCATAACTGACTTAATGCAATTTCAATTTTAAAATAATCAAATATCTAAACTATGAGATCCGTCGTAATTGAGATTGATAGCAGAGATTGAATTAGAAATTGGAGATTAAAGTAGACATTTATCATAATTCTACTTGGTATCTCATAGTCACAATTATGAGATACTAAGTTAATTATGACAAATCAAAACTTATTCTCAAAATTGACTTTTTATCTTGTAATTATGACTTACAATGTCAATTTTGATTTGAGATACTATTTCTCAGAATCTCTGCATGATAAACTCGTTTTTTGACGGAAAGTTGCAATTGTGCATTATACAGTCAGAATTGTGAGACATAAAATCGCAATTCTAAAAAAATTAAGTTAGAACTGCTAGATGTAAACTCGCAATTGTGACTTTTCTCTCAGAATTGCAAGTTTATATCTCGCAATTCTGACTTTATAATTCGCAATTGCGATTTTATAGCTCACAATTCTGAGAAAAAAAGTCAAAATTGTGAGATGTAAACTCACAATTGTGAGTAAAAATATTATTTTAAAAAATGATATCCCGCAATTATGACTTTATAACTCGCAATGTTGAGTTTATATCATGCTGTTCTGAGAAAAATTCAGAACCGTGAGATAAAAGTCGCAATTACCTTTTTTTTTTTTAATTCAGTGTAGGAAACGGGACTCCATAAATAACAGTACTTGTAAAGAAGTAAAATAATATGAACATTTTGGGTAAATGTAAAGAAAACTGATCTTGAAACATTGATCTTGAATCTCCTGACCTGGTAGCCCTGTGTGGGTGTGGGCTGGTAGTTAGTGTAGGCAGGGGTGGTTGTGGGAGGGGCTTGTCCTGGGGCAGATGGCTGCCCACTGGTGCCTGCAGTCTGATACATATAAGCATTCACCATGTTTGGATCTAAAAGAGAGTGAGCAGAGAATGTTAAACAAAAAAGTGCCACATTTGAAGCCGATCTGTTTTATTCACTAAAACGATTTTTAAAAAGAGCGAGAGAAAGATAGAGGATGTTTGGTTGACCTGTAGCTGACACAGGCATGGCCTGGTACGGGCCACCGGCAGCAGTCTGTCCGTGCTGGTTCATGTAGACTCCATGCATGGGCGACCCCTCCACTGAACCAGAAGGACTGAAGGTGCCAGGATAGCTGGGAGGGCCAGTGGGGGGATACACCACCCCTCCTGCCACATTAGGAGGCAGTGACTGCATCTACAAACACCAAACAGCACATTACAAATAGGGCTGCAACGATGAATTGATAAAACTGATGAAATTAAAATAATCAACAAAGAATTCGATTATCAATTAATCATGTTTGCACACTTAAAACGTTAGAGAGTCATGTGATTACATCCATTTCCATAAAGGATCATCCTGAAATCAAACGGGTCTCCGTTAAACTTCACAGACTGAAGCCGCAATAGAATGAGAGTGCAACAATTCTGACTAAAATAAACATTTTGCTAAAATATGTGTTTGATGTTAAATTCTATGTGATACAAGAAACTATTATTTATATTTTATATATATATATATATATATATATATATATATATATATGTG